TATTTGTAGGGTACAGAGCTTAAGCGGAATTGTTATTTAACTAGTCCCCTCCCCCATTATCTTGTAGAAGAGACTTTCTTAATGCTGTGCATTTTGTTTTGTGTCCACCTGAACTCACTGAAGTGTCTATAGAATGCTTAGGCAGTCTTTTGTTTTGGTTTTATTATTGAACAGGCAGATTTTAAAAAATAGCACAATGAAAATTTTCCAAACAGGGAGAAGTTGCCATTAAGCCAGTCATTTTGCTCCAACCATGCTCAAACTTGGGAGAGAATCTCTTGATAATATTCTTGGATGGTTTTCAAACTTGCTGGATGGACAACCTTTTGTCTGTTGTAACCTGTGTTCCCATTAGGAATTCATCCGTTGTCAGCTCATGGAATGGGATCTTTGCAAATGTCAATCCAAGACTCTCCACCGGTAGCACCACCCCTTCCCCAAGAGGGGACGTGCCTTGCACTGGGTCAAAGGTCAGAGGGAAGTTACTCAGCATCTGGGACTAAGCTCAAGGTTGATTTAAATCAACTAACAAGATAAACATTGATAAATTGTCATTTATTTATTGTGTTATTCATCAACACTAACAGGCTGCTTGGAAACTTATTCTAGATTAATTAGTTAATTGGAGGTGTTATAATATAAAGGATTTCAAATTTGTTTACATTCACCGGCTGTTAAAGTTGAGAGTAGAAGTTCCTCTACAAGCATTAAAATTTGTATTAGTTGATTTTTTAGCCATCTGAATATGGCAACAATAGTATATAGCAACAATTTAGGACTAAAACCTGCATGTACATGTCTGCATGTATAGTATTGCCCCAAGACTACTTTGACAGTTTTGGCCGCTGCACCGTGCAGGCCACATGCACTGGCATGTACAGCCGAATAGCCTTACCAGAAGAGGGCACTATATTCAAAAGAGGTGACCTGCCAAAAACTAGTCTTGTAGAAATCTAGCAGGTTACCCTTAAAAATTCTGAGCATACATGTGCCTCACACGTTCAAATTACCATGAATAATTGCTCATGCGCACTGCCGAAAACTGCAGTCTACATGACATGTGGTCTTCTGCAGTGCGTAAGGGCATTATTATTAATGAACTTGAATGCATGAGGTATGCTCAGAATTTTGTGGGTAAGCCCGTCAGATTCTACAAGACTGGTTTTCTGGCAGGTCGTCTCTTGTGAATATAGCGCCCTCTACTGGTAGTGCTATTCGGCTGTGCTTTCCAGCGCATGTAGGCCTACTGTTTGCTCTATAATTTGGGAGTCTCCTCTGCTGCTGCATGTAGGCCTACTTCTTGCTCTATGACTTGGAAGTCTCCTCGTTTTGGAAGCTACAGTGTGTGTTAGGTTCATATCTGATATCACAGACCTACGGTCGAATGTTTGTTCTAGATTACTCCAATAATGCCTAGTATCGTTGAGCAAGGCATTTTACTGTAATGACATAGTAAGTGCATGTACTGTACACCCTTCTCTGTCCCTCATTACTCGTTTAACCCATTGTTTGTACTTGTACTGTAGACTCGACTGGTATCACTCAAGTGTAAGGGGCGAGTATACCTGTCGCCATGGCTGACAGAAATCACCAGAACATGTTTAAATGCCCTCTACGTTGTAACACAGGAAATCCTGTAATGCTTACATGTCATCCAGCATGCATGTTACTCAATAATTTAGATTTCAGTGCAGTTCACTGGACTTTTCTTACCACAAGGATATAGTGTTGGCAATTGAACTCTGGTTTGTTCAGCATTCCTACCTGAGAACCTGCATGCCATGTATTTTCATACGTAGTATTCAGAATCGTGTACAGTGTTTCCTTTTTTCCTTTTAATTCACCCTCCCACATTGATGAGTAAATCAACAAAGTTAACAATGTTTGACATCAAATTCTGCATTTGCATGTTTTATGAGTGTATTTGTCATAACTTTGGGGAGATGTTTACAGTGCAACAGATAGGTTTCCAGCCAATTCATGTCCACAGATTCATACACACTTCGCTTTCATTCACTTGTTTCAACAAGGGTCTTCAAGAGTTTCTTATTACCCTTGGATGAACCATGACTGGTCCCCTCTGAGACTGTGCTGATCAGGTCAATCAACATGATGTAGTCTCTGGGATCTCTGATTCACTTTCGTCATGGTTTTGGATTGGTTTTGAGACAATCTGAAGCTGCCACACTTTAGTGGAAATTTTCTCTTCCATCTTAATCGGGGAGAATTGGATCCTATCGAGCTATTAAAGACTTTACTGTCTCAAAAATTGCTTTTCATTGCTTGAAATCACATGAAGGATCTTGTTCAAATTGCAACAGTTTTGGCTTTATATAACTGCATTAGAATTGTGATCTCCATACGTGATTTTGGCAAAAGGTGGATTTGACTTTGCCAATCTCAGCATGTGCCTCATGTTCATTTTCATCATTTGAAATTGAAAATTACCTGCAGTCGTACAGAACGCTGACCTCATGTTCTCGATTCTGTCTGTCTTGTTGGAACGTGCATCCATGATCATGTGGGTGCCTGGATGTAGCCGAAACACGGGTCAATTAGTCATCAATACCGGGACCTGTCTCGAGCTCCCACAAGGAACTTTCAATGCATATGCTGCCAGGAACTTGAAAGAATGCTCCTTTACTGATGTCAGCCACAGTCTCCTGGATGGACAGAGCCGTGCTTACCCTCAAGAAGTGGACTTGCTTTCTTTGATTTGTCAAATATGAGTGTGATCCCAGTTGTACATAGCATAGATAGCTGTGTGCTGATCAGTAGCTCCACCTACAAAGGCTTTGCAAGTTCTGTCATTTTCTGCAAGGTAGGAATTAAAGTTTTGTCTTTGACAAGGACAAGCGCACTGTCCAAATTCAACAGTCAACGTTGAATTATAAGGTCGTCAGTCCCAGTTTTTGTGATTTGTGTGCAGTGGATTTTGGTAGATCTTGCAGAATCTCCGGCAGGACTGTGCTCCCTTGGTACTTTTCAGCTTTTCTGTTGTATCTCTACATGTATATTCAGATGCAATCCGCTCATACCAATATATTAGTAGCTGTACACATTCAGCTGAAAGTTGCTGTCTTCATTTGTTGCCATTTGTTGCCATTTGCATGCGTTAATGTGTCATGCAATTTGAAAACCACTCTGCAGTTTCTGAAGAACCTTTATAGGGTCCATGTTGAAGGGAAGGTTCTCAGGTTTTGGATTTGGTTGATCAGCTCTGCCTACCTTCCACGGGAGAGCTTTTTCTTTTTCTTGGAATGGTCTGTTATGTCCATTGGGCCCATTTGTTTTCATTGCATTTATAAGCACATATTCTCTTCTTGTTTGATTTCATAATTGTCTTTCCTCAGGGAATAAGGTTTGACGTCTCTTTTCCACAATTCTTTGACCTATGACTTGATCTCTAGACCCTTTTATTGATCCAGTTTGGTAATATCCGTACATGTACGTTTAGGCCATTGGTCATTTGGCTAGTGATATTTGATCACAGCATAGGCGGTGACCGGTGTGGGACACAATTTCTTCCTGATGAGTAACAGTGTCATCGTCGTCCGTCCCTTCCCCAAGCCCTGTCATTTTCCCCTCCCCCAGTAGGATATTCATAGCAATGATCCTAACAGTTTGCAGAAGTCTTGATGTACATGTACATATCGGTGTTCTTTTTACAACAGCCAACCATGTATACTCATTTCGGCCTGTGTCTGTAGAAATTATAAACAACTGACCAAAAAATCAAATGTGTTTAAGCCAATGTGACCTCTGTGCATGATTACCCCTTCGCTGTTGAAACAAGAGATACTGGTAGGCTGCAATCCTGGACAAATCTCATTGGGCCTCCCACCCCCAGACCCCCTTACAATGTTGGGTCTATGCATGAGGTCTGTCCCCGGCTTGACTTTACAACATTGACCGGGTTATTATCAAGATGTATTATATATAATTGACCGGGTTAGTTGGGGAGGGGGCTAGAGAGCATATGGCTATTGCCAAATGTCCCAACAATTTTGTCCAGAATTGTAGGCTGGTACCCAGATGCCATTGTTACTTTGCTAACCTACACGTATAGCGCCCATGTTCAAACTCAGCTGTAGTAGGGTTGAAATTTTGTCATGTAGTCTTCACTCTACGTGTACATGTACATATGATGAAGAGTATGGTTAAGCGATAACGAATTAATTTAATCTAAATTCAGTTGAAATTCACCAGCCTTTTCCATACTACGTGTACCTCATTACAGGAGCAGTAATTTTACTCTGCTCTGCAGTACTTGTGCATGGGAAATATACATAACATGCATAGCCATATGCATTGGCACACATTACTGGTTGTTTTTTGTGTGCATTTGTTATTTTCGTTGCTGTGGGTATGGCACATGTACATGTACTTTGACTGCTAGGAGTACAGTACACATACATGTATGTACTTTAAGCTGTGCAAAGCAAGACAGCAAAACTAACAAATGCTATATGACTGGCTTTTGACTAATCATGATACAGAATCTGTGGGTGAGGTGTTATGATAAGGTTTGTACTTCAATAGAGTGCCAAAGTGTGGCATCATTTTGAACTGGAAAGTGTGGTGCAAATGGACGGAGGGCAGCGCGTGTTGGTTCATACACTGGCTTTCCCCACGTTCCTCTTAGACATAATCGTGCGTGTGACATATTCACTTTGGTACTCAATATCAGTGTGAAGGTAAATGATACACATGCATGTATATAGCCAAATCAGGTGTCTTCTTGTCCGTAGCTTTGGTTTAAGACTAAAGTGCATTGCCATAGACTAGCCAAGCCATTGATTGTTATGTCAGCTTTGGGTATCTCCCGTCACAAATCAGCACAAGTTAGCCACTTGCTTATAATTTAACCCTAACAGTCCCAAATCCTCCAATTTCAATACGATTTTACATACACCCTTTGGGGTTAGGGATAAGCTGCTTCTGGTCTTTGCTCTTAAGTCACATTGCCAAGGCTTAAATCTTGGTTTTTAATCTCCTAGGTTGGGCAGGAGGAAGTCATGAAGGAAAAGACGATGCTCTTGGAGAGATTACGAATCTTGGAAGCGGAGAATTCAGCTCTGGTCCTAGAGAATGAGAATCAAAGGGAACAATATGAGAAATGTCTTGATGAGGTGGGTTGAACATTAACATTCTCCATTACTAAAAACAGATCTATATACTGATTTATAATTTGCTAATTCTTTTAAAAATTTAAGACTGCTTAAAATATGTTTAAATTGTCCTCTTCCTTTAAAATCCCATAAACGAACCAGTGGATTTGAAGAACACAGGATTAGTTAGACAAATTGTGTCTTGGATGGTTGTGTGGATGTATTTATTTAAGCTGTGAAAATTATTTATTTATTGAATAAAAATAACTTTGAGTACAAATAGATCACATTTTGCCATTCTTTTTGTTTTAAAATTCCTTAACTCTCCTAGCTTCATTAACAAGACGGAGTGAAACTTTAATGAACATTCTTGTCACGATCGGCAAAGCTCAGGAAACATGGGTTGAATAAGATCATTTTTTATCCCACAGGTGGCCAATCAAGTAGTTCAGGCACTCTTGATGCAGAAGGTAAGTAGGAATTAAAAACTGTGAAAGTCTTCAGTGACGTGTCTTGAATGTCAAAGCAGATCTCCTTAGGCAGGAGAGGAACTCAGGCAGATTGCTCGCAGCCTCATTTTTCTTTGATTCCAGAATGGTTTCGGTTTCAATCACTGACAAGTTTTCAAACAGAAATTTATTTACTTTTAATGATAAGTGTAAATGCCAACTGTCATTTAAGCATCAAGATGTGCATCTGGTGAGTTAGCACTGTTGCATTATTACCCAGTGACACATAACGGAAACTTCAGGCGGTTACGTTACACTTCACCCCGCTCACACCAAAGTCAGCCCTTTCCAACTTGAATTACCACTGAAGTTAGAAAGTACACCCTCTAAAGTTTCAACTGTGACTCATCGAATCAAGAGTCGCTGCTTAGAGTATCGGTCTGGGAATCTACCAGGGAGATGATCATGGGATTCAAACACTCTTGGGCTTCTAAACATTGGGGGAAAGGAAACAGGTCCAAAAGATACCCATTAAATCATCTCTTGACAGCTGTCCCACCCAGCCCAATCTAGATCCACTCCTTGCATTTTTTAGTGATAAAGTGATCTGCTTAAACAAAAGCTGTTGACAGTAATGCACCTGTCATGTTTAGTGTTTCACACATTCATTCTCTTGTACAACTTTTTTCCATGTAGGGGCACTTCACACCCTTGGTGTAGGGAAGTATTCCTGCCTACACTCAAAATTGTCACATTGTATTGGGCTTTGGATAAACATGTATACATGTACCTGTTTGACTGTTTCAGTTTGGTACAAGATGTCATTGATATAGTGATAGCAGTTGGTTGTTTTTTTTCACCTGATTCTAAGTTAACTGGCTTGGAAGTGTTAATCTGGAGCTGCTTATTTTACACTGTGAGTATCTGTTTGTTTGATAAGGATTTAGTCATTTGCCGGCTGTCTGCTCCTTGTCTTTCACTGCTATGAATCACATCAACAGGTTAATTTGTGTTATGGTTCATCTGTTAGTGGTTAGTATTAGCTGGGTGCCATAGTGGCGGTCGGGTGTTGTAGACTGTTATGTCAAATCCTCCAATATTAATATGAGTTTACACACACACACCCTGTGCAATTAGAGTTAATCTGCTTATAAGTTTTAAGAAAAGAGAACTCTTAAGACCTTTTCATGCTAGATGAATCTCCAGGGTGTTGCAAGGGTGACGCAGGGTTGAAAGCTGGCGACAATTCACGCTTGAACATTTCAACCCCAGGCCAACCCTGTGTCAGCCCTGAGATTGATTTCAACCTAGGTTGAAATCAACCCTGCTCTGGACCAGGGTCCAGTTTTTCAACTTAAGTTAGAAATTATCCAAGCTCATTTTCGGGTTGAAGTCACCCCGATAAGCTTGAAACAAGTGTGAAACAATGCTGGAATCAAATGTACGACCCTGGGTGGTCCTGTGTTGGCCCAGAGTTGAGTTCAATCAGGGTAGAGAGGCTGGAGTGTGAAAAGGCCTTTAGGGTCTGAACTCCAACCTCCATAGAAGTCCCTAGAACAGGTTGTCAGTAAAGGAATCAACAGAGGAAAATTAACAGCTGTTGGGGGCCAATTATACATCAGTTGCACTTGATGACAGGGTCAGCAGCTGGACATCTACATTTAGTAACTCATTTTGTTAGGTGTTGGTAAATTTATGAGGGCTTTGAAATTGCAAATCTCCCTTGCACTCTCCACATATTGAAAGAAGTCTTCCTGATGGATGCCATGACACGGGTGAAATATCAACAGCAGTGTTTTGGACGTTATCTTTGGCACCAATTGCGTGGTACCACTTTCTGTTGTGACTTGCCCAGTTATAAATTGGTATTGTCAAGAAGTTCACTCACTCTTCTTGTTAAGAAGTTTTTCTGTCATTACATTAGTCACATCATCTGTCAGGATTCTATCTTCTTGAAGCTGGTACTTTTGACATTAAGCACACCATCAATGCATTTTTGGGATCTAATTGCACTTCCTTGAGAAATTATCGACGTCCTGCAGGTGTCAGGTTTAGCTTCTTTTGAGTGAGTTTGTAGTAGGTACTTCACTGACTTGTCGAATTACAAGAGACCAAATCTCTCCACACGTTCACGCCTAGGGCCTCCACACAGTCACAAATCGTTTATAAAGTTTCAAAATTCATAATAAAGTCTCTAACAGATTACTTTGAAATTTGAATGTTTATTTCGTGTATTTCATTTTCAATTTCCTTAAGTTTTATTGTGAAACTCACAACGGTTTTGGTTTTACTGTAAAGAATGAACGTCGTGTGAATCCATGTTCTCGTTCCAGTCTGGAAGGTTATGGCACCGCTCCACCTTTTGCAGCACTTCATACAAACTCGTTTTTGTGGCCGGACTTTCCAAAAGAAATCTGGGCATTCTGATTGGCTAAAAAGCATCATCATGGCCATTTCCGAATAGATCCGAAGTTACTCTGCAACGTAACATGTGTTCCAGGTCAATCGGTTCGCAGACAGTGGAGCGACAAATTTTTGAAAAATTAAACCTATTTTTTGAGGTGAAGAGTCCCCTAAATTACCAGAGAACATCTTTTTATAAATGTGATTTGTAAAGGCTTATTATCTAAAAGGACCCTCAAAAAAGAAAGCAAAATGACAAGGTTTTGGCGACTTGCGAGAGTCCAGTGTGCATGTATACCACGTAGGCCAGGCCAATGTGTACATGAGCACTCATACACACACGCAGTGAATGCTGTGTACTGTACCAGTATGTACTTGAACTGTGTAGCGCTGCCGGTCACTCGCACTGTACAGGGAGATTGTGGCATTTTTGCACAGTGCTGAGTGGAATTTTACCCCTGTTGCAGGTCTGTACAGACTTAAACTTTGTGTTTTGATGACTTGAGAATCCTGACAATGAAACCATGAGAGTATTGTAGTAAAGAAGAAGAAAGGAAATCTGGGGAAGGTAGCATTTCTGACAACAGATATGGAAGGTAAATTATGACTTTCTCGGTACTAATAAAATGTAAATGTCATTCATTGTAGTTAGTATGTATCAGATGTAGAGGGTACGTTTTCAGCCAGAAGCCTCCACATTCACTAAATTAAGTTCATTAATATGCTAATTACATCAATTCATTAATTTATTTTTAAGTGTGATTTTAATGCTTTCCAAACATTGCAAGCAGTTTCTTCTGAAGGTGTTTAGTACTTAATTTAAAAAAACTCATTGCTTTTCTTTACAGAACACTAAATATTGGACACATTTGCACAAATTAATATGTAAATAATATGCAAGTATAAATACGTATTTTTTAAAACTTATTTAGAAATTCAGATACTGCTAATTGAACATATCCTGAAAGTTTCAGGTCGTTGCAATTAATATTTTTCGAGATAGACACTAATTAGTACCCATGCAAGTCAATTTTGTGGTGCCATCCTTGAAACAAAAAACATAGGAATGACCTTTGACCTCCAGTCTCCAAAGTCATTGGAAAAACTGACATATAAACAGTTTCATCTCCGCAACGATAGGAGCTTTTTCAGAAATTCAAAATGGATTTTAATTTTGTTAAACCCCCCCTTCATCCTGTATACTTATCAAACACAAAGAACCAAGAAGCCGAAAGTGCCTATTTGTAGCTACAGGAGATTCATTGGACATGGACATGATGGCAAGGTGTTTCCTGTGTCATTACAATCTGCTGCTTGGGAGGAAATTCACTCTGATCTAGGCTTGTCAGATTTGCGGAATCTTTGGTAGAGATAGATCAGTGATAACTATGTTGTACAAATTTGTGTCAGATCTTTCCCCTTATTAATGGTGATTCGTATCGAAAAGAGTTATCCAGTGAATTCCCTTGAAATTGTTGCTTTAAACATTCCAATCCTAATTTCAAGTTCAACACTTTAGAGGAAATCAGTTGAACAGCCTTTTAAGGACATCATTTAATTCCCATGTAAATTATCAGTGGCCAGGCTCTACACTTTTCAATCCAGCAAAATCCCACATAACATCCGAGTGGACTTGACAGGATCTGTGAGTTCAGGGTACATGTACATGTCGGACGTCAAGTTTATTCCAAGGAATATTTTCAGTAGATGCAAAATAGGAAAAGAGATGTGGAGGATGCATAGAGTGCAGAAGATCCTAGCTAGGTCATGGCTCGTTGGCTGATTGGCCAATAAACAGGCTGAATTTCTCCACCCTCGGCTTACTGTCTGTAGCTTTTACCTTTAACGAATCTAAAGTCTGGCTTGCAGACTTGAATATCTATCTTGCTATAGGTCATGTAGGCTACTTTTACCTTGCTGGCTAGACTTAAGATCAGACATGACGTCTATACCAATCATTTCCACTCTCTGTTGACAAAGCTGAACCATCTGTGACGTCATAGTCTGGTTTTGTGACGTTTAGAACAAATCTTTATGGAAATCTGCAGTGCAGTGACATCAGAGAAATAATTTGGGGTCTCTTTTGGGTCTGGAGTAATTTCTAGTCTCCACTACAAAGTCCTTCCAAATAAGGTCTTTGATTTCAGTGTTGTCTAGTTTGTTCGAGACTTGGCGAGAAGCTGTCTATATATCTGTCTATGTTGTCCGAATGTTGCTCGATGTTCACAATTCAACACAAGAGCCTTAAGACTCTTTTACAGCAAAAGTGGTTACCAGTTCCAAGTGACCCCGTGTAAGGCTTGGTTTTGAAGCCATAGCATACACAACCAATACATGACTATTCTGTACAATAATAAATAATGCCAGGAGCTGTCTTACACCCTGATGTTGGAGAAAGTGTCAACATTTGCCTCATTGTGGGAGTCTAAATTTCCTTTGTGAATTATTTATTATTACCTCACCATGGTTTAAATATTGTAAGGAACCCTGTGGGACACGTGTGGTAATTATAGATGGCACACAAGTCCCCGAGAAGCAACTTGGAGATGGCTCAGTGGCCATATAGGAGAGTTACATGTAGTAGCTTCCAGAATAGCATTGAGGTCAGTCACTCGTTGCTTCAGTGGTCAGTGAAATCTATCTTGGAATCCACTAAATCACAGTGGCATCTTGGGGATTACAAAGGATTGGCATCTTCCTAATATCAGGAAGTAGATGTCAAAAAGTTGGAGGGCCTGACTTTTCGATCCAAGTAGAATCTTTCTCAAAGGCAAAAGGAAGTAGATGTCACCGGCCTTTGTAGTGTGTCCAGTTGATGTTGATTGTCACAGCGGTCGTCTTGGTTAAGTATCTGTCCATCGTTTCTAATACAATAAGTTTAAGGGGTTAAATTGGGATTGGCATAATCTGTTTAAGCTGCATACAGCCAGCCTCTATAACAGAAAGATCTAGTTTTATGGATTAGAAATCTTTTTGGTATTACCCTAATGACTAACCGTTAATCTTTCAGGATATCGTAAGTATGCTATGGCTGTGCTATATTGCTTTGATGAAATGATCTGTCACTTTCAGTATTGCCTGACAGTATACAGCAAAGCCACTGCTGAACTTTTACATCACCTCACCATGTAAGGATCTTGGTGTGATTTTTTTTTACACATTATATTCAAGGAAATCTATGGAAATGGCTGTTGAGGCTTTGTTCCCATTCAAATATAGCCACAGTGAACCATTCCTGAACTTCTGAGGAAATCAAGTAAATGGCTTTTAGTAAGGGGGGTGTGAGGATAGTTTAGAAAATCGAATTTCCTGAAATTTAGTGAACACTCCCTGAACTTGTCTTTTAACCATCTCTGGAAATCAGTAAGATGAGGTGTGTCCTGGCTACTTTCCTCCTCGTGTCCATGTCAAGTAAATTATGTCCATGTAAATCGGTTTGCTGAAAGAATTGGAAGTGGCAAGACATTGCATCACATGCTTACAGTACATCATGGGTCTTACAGCCACAACAGGTGACTGACTCAGACTCAAGATACATGTATATAGGGGAATATTGGCAAAGTTGGTGGCCTTTCTTTACCATCACACTTTCAGAGAAATGTACAGGGTATGCACTGATACACAGCTTTGAAATTAGAGATCAGTGATTTTACCCTAAAAGAGCCAAGAGGGTAGAATCTGCCCCTCCACATTTTTTGCAATGTTGTTGCAGTACATCTTTTCCTGCACCAAGCCATAAGAACTTTTTTGTAACATCTTGTCATTTTTGACACCAGTTTTGTGAAAATCAGACACTCTGTTCTCAAGCAGCACACGGGTCAGCCAAACATCCATACTTCTTCCCTTTTGTGCTCAATGTGTGGGCCAACATGTTTGAGACCATCAACTTCAAATGACCACAACATCAAAACTCTGTCGTGTTGAATTGCAACTTCACATTTTTTTTATTGATAATGAGAGTCTCCACATGGCTGCCAAGTTTCAAAATAATGGGACATGTGACAGCTGAGATCTTAGACATGGAGGCCCCCCCGCTATGGGCTGGTTCCTCCCCTCATCTCAGACAAAAAAAGCTCTATGAGGATTGAGCAAAATGAAGAAAACACAGGGGTGCCAGTGTTCAAGCAAAAGCATGATTTGGGGCTTTTCTTTGCAATGTTGGGCTAATTTCAGGCCTTAACAAGGTACATGCAGGCTTCTCTGATTTTCTTTTCTGGCTCTGAACAAAAGCGAGACTGGCATCCTTGGAAACTCATTGCCAAACTACAGAGGCAACTGCCACCGAAGTCGAACAGCATATAAAGTACATGTATATCAGAGATTGTTTAAATTCTGTTTCTAGGGAGTCTTATGACTTCATAGTCTAGAGACCCTGGAATTGACTCATGTCGTATTCAGGTTCTCCAGGGTACTTAAATGATGTACAGTGGGGTATGAGGAAATGATCGTTTATTGTGTGTATTCACCTGATAAAGCATCAGCCATCTGATGTATGTGAGAATGGATGGGTCAGCAACAAAAGATTAGTCAGAGTGTCTGACATTTACATAGTCAGAGGTGTTTGACATACATGTAGAGATGAGCATGATACTGTCTGGAGTTGTGTCCAAAAAGTCTCTATAATTTCCTGAAGTTTTAGCTGGCTGCTGTGGCATATGGCTTTTCCAGACAAGCTTTGTAAAATGTGAGTGTTTGTCACTGATTGGTTGGATGCCAAGTGTGTGGACATCACATCGAGTCACTTGTCACATTTATTGCATTTTGCCAATTTTTCGGTTTGGACATACTTCTAATTTCTGCTATTACTACGGAAACGATTAAACAACACCTGACACTTACCGTTCAAGGCAGGAAACTTGGGAGATGTACCACGAGGCCCAGCTTGAGCCAGATCATTCTGTATCGTGTGCAGTTTCAAGATGCATCACACCGACCCTGTTGCTTGAAACTCAGCTTGCACTGACTACAGCCTTCACCAAAATGTTGTCAACTGATTCACATGGAGGGGCTTTCCTTGCAGGCCTCCCTCAAATAATCCAGCCACCAACTCCTCAACTGAATTCAGACTCATGAATTCCAAAATGCTCTGATAATTGTGCGGAGACTCTTGGATCCTGTGTGCTGCTATGGCGATGGGGGGTCAGGATATTTTGTTGAAGCATCTTTGGTGTTTTGTCATTTATCTGACTTTGTTTTTGAAAGAAGCTGTCAAGGTGAGATGCATGTAAATTTGATTTTGTGTTGGAAGGCAAGGGGATAAGATATTCCACAATCCAGGGACTGTAATATCTTGCATCAGCTAGTGATGTGGGGACGTTCACTTAGCTGCAGTGGTATTTTGATTTATCACTTATTTCTACTATGAAATATTTTGCTCGTTAGTGAGGAAGGTTGTCTTCTGCTGCACAGTAACTGCTGCCTTACAGAGCTTGATACTAATATGATGACCAGAAGTAAAAGCCATGAAACGATGACATTGCTTGTATAGAGTATCGAAGCTTGCCATCATTTCAACCAGGAAGTGTAGTGCCAATGGATGTAATACGTACGCGTGTTTCTTCACGCATTAATGCCTTCAATACTTACAGCTGTGCGCATAATGTATTCACCACATTAATCGATACCCATATTAAACACCTCGACCAATAGGATAATTGTCATTTGCCAAAATACATGCTATGCCTGCAGTTGAAGGAAGCGTGTTACATGCATATGTATGTGCACCTGTTGTGATGTCACTGCAGTACTGGCATCTCCTTAAATCAGTCTAATGTACATGTACATTGTAATCACAGTCACATTGAAAACATACCCTTAATTTGCTTTTTATCATACAGACTTTGTTAAACTGAAACCAGTCTAGCATTCTTCCTTGAACATGTACATGCCTGTGTTATCTACAGTGTTCTTGCAAGCGAACTTAAAATATTGTAGTTGAATGGAATTCAAAGTCAAGTAGTGTTTGCCAGTTGTTTCATTTTGTACCTACATGTAAACAAACCCTGGAGTCCAAAGAGTTCTGACAAAATATTGCATGTTGTTGATTTCTGCAGTGGCTTTGAAGATTTGTTTTGTTGAATAAAGTAAGTTTCACTTTTGGCCATTGGATTTGTTTCATCTCAGCTTGGGGGAAAAAAACACTCAGAAAAAAGAAAAGAAAATATGACGATTTGGAAATTACTAGAAGTTCTGGCAGGGTGAGCTTACATGTAATTAAGCATCGGTGGCAGAAGTGGTAGGGGGGTCACTGGCCCCTTCACTAGGGCTTACTCCCCCCCTCCTTACTTTGGGCAGGTCCCAATGATGGCTGGTGCACGATGGTTTCATAAATGACCCTCCCTCCTTTGAAAATCATTCTGCCGCCATCGTAATTAAGCATCAAGTCACTGAGAGCATCATGAATACCCAATGCTACACCGATTCATTAATGCAGGAAACCTTTCATTTATCGGCCGGGAGTATCTTCAGGCAGAACTTAATGGTGCCATTAGAGTGGAGAAGTAAAAACACTTCACTCTTTGTCAAGCGTTCCACTTGATACACTCAATATTTTGTATAAATGGATTTAGGCAAGTGTAAAATTGTATCTTCACAGGCAATGCCGTGAGAAAATGGACCTTTGGTCATGCTGCTACCAATCCCATGATTAAGCATAATTCACATACAAAACGTTTCACCTAAAAATGAAAGTATAATTGTAAGTAATGCTATTTCTTGGCATTTCCACTCTGTTTTCAAAAAAGTCTGTTTTGTTTAAAATTTACCCATGATAATGGGGGTTTGGTAACAGAGTGACCAAATGTCCACTTTCGCTGGGAATTCTCATCAAGCTGCTCGGCCATATTGGTGAAAAGAATCGTTCCAGTTAACTCACCTAAATTGAAAATTTTAAAACTATACGTAAAGAGCATGAGAGCATAAAGTGCATTGTAAATGTTATTAGTAATTGTGTGACAAATTGAAATGGGCAACATGATGTGGTAAACTCTGTTTGGATTTGTTTCTCCTCTACAGGATCTTAAAGAAGAATGCATCAAGTTACACAACCGTGTGCGTGAATTAGAACAACAAAATCGCAACTTGAAATGTTTGTTTGAGAGAGATCGTCAATGCTGCGGACCACTCTCACCCATTCAGGTATGTCCAGTTCACTCTGTTCTGGAAGACCAACATGTAAAACTTAAGTGGGATGCATGTACCGATAACTTTCATGTACCGATAGTTTGGGAGGGGCTGACGTTAATTCCCGTCTGAATTTCTGTTGGGAGCCTTTCTATGTAATCTGTCCATGGTCTGCACAAGAAACACGTTGAACTTCCAACAAACTACAGACATCACAGCCATTTTACCCAACCTAGCTGTAGATTTGTCCAGAGTGGGAATGCAGGCCAGTTTAGAAGGTCATTCCCATTTGATCAGGTTGGTAGACACACAAGGATAGGACAAGAAATTATAACATTTGCAAATTGTCTACCACCTGTTGTGAAATGGATTGGAAATTAGTAAGTGACATTGTTAGTGTTCAAAAATCTGCATTTGTTCTTGCACTTATGTACAAGTACATGTTACTGTATTGATATTCAGGTGTTCATTCGGAGTTGAAATTTTACATGAACTTCATACTAAAATATTTTACATGAACTTCATACTAAAATATAGTTTTCTGTACTAAATGTTATATTTGGTCTCACCCAAAAGCACTGTCAAATATGAGTCTGCAATTACAGATAGTCAGAATGGCATTTGAGGAGTTGGTGAATGGTCTCTTCATCAGCAGCTAGGGGATTGTATCCTTGCTGCTTCCAACAGGATCCACACTCACAACTGCTGGTGCATGATACTACCAAAGATCCATTGTATTGCATCTATGCAGCATGATGGGGAAGTTTTGTGGTGGAAGTCAGTTTCGTTAGTGAACCTTTCTCTGGTTTGTGATGTCAATGGGCTGGTTGGCCAGTCTCTCTTTGTGAGCAGTTATGTAGATATGGATGTATCTCTTTGACCATGCTTCTCTGTAATGTGTGATCAGAGAAATTATTTGCTTCCAGAAATCTGCACAAATGAGTACAAAGTGGACCGCTGAAACTCACTGATTGTGTAGAGAAGTTGTATCTTATTTAAAACTGCTTACCAGATTATATTTGCATAGTGCTTAACAGAAATAGAATTTTCATCATGGCTTGCATGAAGTTTCTGAAAAGCAATTCTAAATTTTATGGAAATAAATTCTGGCAGGGATAAATACATGTATTTTAAGTTGTTTTTAAATAGATAAATGAGGGGGACGGAAAAAAAATGGCAGTTCATGTTTGCAGATAAGTGAATAATATCCAGGAGCATTGGATTCTTATCTGCCAAAACCTGTGTGGTTTGTGTACTTTCTTTCATGTACAACATTGTAGACTTGACTGTGATTAATCTTGAAAGTCGAGGGTGCATATGTGGAGTACATTATTGAGAGCACCGGTCAGAGTCCATTAAATATGAAATGAAATCCAAGGATCACACACAAGATCTGATTTATTAGATGTCAAATCATTAATTACTCCAACTTTATTCCATTTGCCATTTTCTGTTCACCATTGGGGGATCGTGATTCTGTAGATAAGGATAGAATTTAAGCCAGTAATTCCAAATTCTTCCGTTATAAGTTCAAGACTCTCAGAATCATTTCTTGAGTTGTCCTTGTACTGATGAACTCTGTGAGCTTCATGGAGCTATTTCCTGTCATGCAGTTATTGCTGCATTTGGAAGAAATTGCTGAAGCATGAACAAAGATGCTCTCAGACAAGAAGTTAAGAATAAATGAATGTGTTCGTCTCAGAACAAATGTGGTAATGGATGTCGGAATGACGCACCTGATATTTCTTGCCTTTCTAACTTTTTGTCTGGTTTTGCTGTTTTTTATTCTCTTGATGGATATTTCTTCATTACTTTTCTTTTCTCTTGGCTTTTGTCCACGATTTCCAACTGCAAAGAGCCTGGATTCTTTTCAACATTTAGTCATTTTTCTTAAAGCCTGTTTCATATTAAGGCACAGGAAGACATCGTGTAGTCCTGACTTGAAATTAAAGATTCAGACACTTGCATTTCCTAGGCACACACCATCCAAACTCCTGCTTTGATGACATATTGTGTCAGCAAGCGATCCAACCTGAGTAATATGTGAGGGCCCATCACAGCCGGTTTTTATTTCTGAATTGTCCCTGATGAATCCTTGGTTCATCAAGCCTGGCCTCACGTTAACACTTAAGAAATTATGACTACCCTGTCTGCTCATCCTTTTGTGTCACATGATTCCATCTGACATCTAGTTTGCTCCAAGTGACTCCATTTGAATCACTTTTTTTGCCTCAACGATTCTCAGTGTATCACAAGGAAGCACAAGAAAGTTGAGACTCGAAGATGTGATAGCCTTGACTCTCAACCTTGTACCCATCTTGAATGACTGTATGTGTCAATGGGAGTGCTGGGGTTTGGCAACCACCTTATCACACGACACAGTTTCCAACCACATTTCCTCCCCGGTATGGATACATTTCAGTGTATCAAACCGATGATGAAATATGGCTCCCACAGAATTGGCACTTAAGTCTCTCCCCCCGCCCAATCTCCTTGGCCAACCTTTGTAGGACATGACGCCATTCTTTTCATTCATTCATTCTGTTTTTTTTTGTTCGATTTTCAGTGTGGTTACAGTTACATGTAGTCTTCAACTTGCCATATTTAAGTTATGCATACTTTTTTCTTTTTCCATCTAATGCTCTTCAAAACTTCTAATAAATTTTTAATCAGTATTACCGGAAGGCAGACCTTTATATTCCACAAAAAAAGAAAATAAATTTACGAAATGAATCACTGGCAATTGTCTTTTAATCTTTCCATCACATCATTCAATACAGGGCTGTTTCCAACACCCGTTTTCTAATCTCATGTCACTGGGTCCCACGTCCTCGCTCTCCACTGGCCAATCACAGAGCTTGGCTCCACCCAGCAGCAATGCCAGCCCCGTCCTGCTCAGGCCCAGTCGAATCCCTGACAGGGGACCGAGACAGGAACAGCTCAACAGCAGCGAGGGTCTGTCCTCTGACTCATCACATCCTGCTTCATCATGCGAACCAGCCCAGGGTAGTCCGGTGCACGGCGCCAAGGTAAGTCTCCACTGGGAGGGAAAGCAAAGGGGGGAAGATAGAGGTTTGGAAGGAGGTAATCGGTTGTCATGCCCTGTCTGGCGTCCTTGGCCTGCCCTAGTGTGACACAGCAATCATCAACTCACAGACTTGTCTGTCAGGATTTCTCTGTGACTGGGTCAGAAAGTTGGCTCCTCATGATTAAAGCCCTTGACCCCAACTGTCCCATCTCAAAAGGAAAAAAGGCTAAGAAGTAATGGTTCACTGGCAAGCACCTGAAAGTGCTGGAGTAAAAGACAGGAAAGTAAGCAGAGAATCAAGTACACAAGTTAGCATTCATGTGTAGAAATTAAACTGGTAACCAACCATGTTAGGAAGACGTTTCATTATAGACTGCAAAGCATATTTCTTGCCTTTTGGGAGACAAACTCATGCTATCTATATGTGCGTATTGCACTTCGCTAATTTTGTGAACATCAAGATGTGCAGAAGTTGGAGATACTCTTTCATAAAAATACAAAGAGATTTTATGTGTGTCTGATATCTATGTGTTTACTGATATTGTTCAGCAAAATTGTTTATGGTATTGCATTTCAAAAACTAAAGGCCAAGAGGATTAAAATCTTTGTTAATTATATCTGAAATATCTTTCATCTATTCCAAAAAGGAAATATCGAAAATACGAAAAAGGAATTTTCTTTGAACTAAGTGATACCTACTTAATGTTTATTAAGTATTGAACATTTCTGCGTAGTTCTAAGGTATTGATGTTACTGTTTTTATTTTCACTCCTGTAGCCGGTGCTATATCAGCTTCATGGATCGCCACATTCCAAGTCTCCACAGCACAGACTACCAATCACGCAATGTCATGAACACATCAACACTACGTATAAAGAGACTTCACCAGACTCTAGTTATCCCTTGACCAATGGAGGGCATCCTGTTGATTCTCTTGATCTGTATCCATTACACCGAACCATGCCAGATACCAGCTTGGATTTGCTATCCCCTCAGCGGGAGCAGTTGATGTACTCACAAAACTGTGAGACATTCGCTGAGTACCGACGTGGGCAGCTCTCCTCCAGGAGCAATGGACACCACCACCACCACAGCAGCATGATCAGTTTTAATGTTGCTGAGAATGATGTAAATGACGGAGCTGGTGAAGTCATGGGACTTGAAGATCTGGAATGGGAGCACACATTACTATCTCCTGCCTCCCAGCGACACTTAGGAGAGATGGGAAAGCCTGTCCGCCATTTGCCAAATGGACTAGTAACCAGTCCTGCCAAGGCACTGGCACTCAGGAACTGTTATGCAAATTCAAATGCAGAGAGGAAACTAGGAGGTGGTTTGGGATGTAGCAGAGAAGCAGGAAGGAATGGTTTCAGTCTTGGGGAGCAATACACCAAACCCTTTGTCCACGCACCTTTTCACTATGCCCAGAGCCTTCTCCAAGAGTTGAAGGACATCAGCAGCAGTGTTAAAAGTTTTGAGACCTTGACTCTTGAGCCTAAGTCTGGTGTGCAGCAGAAACGCAAAGCAAGCTTGGAGATACAACCCCCTCAGTCCAGACAGAAAGTAGTCCGGTCTCAGCCAGGCAGACCACCAGACCATATCTTCACGTTGTCATCTTCAGGACAAGGGAGTGGCTATGATGCTGGCCCTGCTCTTGCAAGGGGAAATGGAGACAGTAGCTGCTCCATGACAAGCTCGGAGAGTATCGAAACCATGCTGGAAAGACAGACTTCCATCACACCCTTCCCAGATTCCAAGACAGAGAACAATCAACAAGGAAAACAACAATATCATGAGCAGCATAACCCTCCATCCAGGGACACAGACAGCAACAGGGTTCAATACCAAGAAACTCAGGCTGAACAGTCTTCAGAGGCCTTACTTAAGCAGTATTTCCAAGGACTGAATGGTTCTGTTACATCAGAGAAATGCCAGACCAATCCAGAATCTGTGAATCAGCTGCACCAAGTCCAGAGCAGCAGAATAATAGCTGATGCTTCCTCTTACTCTCCGCAGATTGAGAGGAAACGAGATGCCTGTCTGTCAGAGCCAAACAGAGACAATCCTGCACAACAAAAAACTTCTGTTTGTCGAAGTCTCTCTGAGAACTCTTCACAGTCACCAACTTTACAGAGGAATTTGTGTAATGCTACGTTAGCTCACAGAAGAGACATCAGTAATAATGGTCCCAAACAGGAAAAATCTCCCACACTGAATAGGAACACATTAACACCAACGCATGATAGCAGATATCTCAAGAACAATACCATGAAACACTCCCAGACTCTACCAGACTCATACAAGATTCAGAGAAATTTGGGATCATCTTTGAAGTCACCCCAGTCACCTGGGTCAGGCAGGAATGCAGTTGCTTTTTCAAAACAGTCAGGGTCCATCAACAAGACATCACAGTTTCCAAAACCTTTAACTGGTGGTATTGACCAGTCTGGGAGCTCTCCAATTCCATCTGGAAGTTGGAAAGTCCCCGTGCAGCCAAGTACTGGTGGAAATCAGCTAAGCCCTCACCATCGAACAAAACACAGTAGTGGAGTCTGGCATTCGGCCCAGTCCCCTGTCCTACCAAACAGACACAGAAATTTAACTTATCCAAGACCCCACAGGCACCTCTCAGAACCTAGTAGCAGAAATGCCAAAGGAGACCAGAGTTGTCATACAGGGGCTCCTCACGGTATTAGACCACCCAATAGCTTCCCAGTGGAGCTGACCAGTCCAACGGTTGGTAAACATCGTCAGAGCTCATCTGCACCAACCAGCCCTTCAACTGAATGCTTAACTGCCCGAATGCATCAGCGAAACATTGCTCGGAAGATGTCACCTCGTGTTCGTAAACCTGAAACCAGCCAACAGAAGCACAGGGACAAAATACCAACACTCTCAGGAAATGAAAAGAAAGCCCTTCAGCAGACAAGTAACATGTCTGCAGGTGCGCCTGAACCAGACGTCAGTGGTGTTAGTGGTGATGTGAGAACTCAGAAATCAAGAGAAGATGCACCAAGTAGACCTTCAGATCTCCTCCTTCCATCCAAAGAGATCAGTAATCATAAACCATCAGATACTATCCAACATCGGCAAAACTCTGAAGTAGATGTCTCAAACAGCAAAGCCATACCAGATAACAGAGATCTGATAACCTCTGAAATGCAGGTTCCAGTGGCTAACAGGTCACAAACAAATCCAGAAGAGAACAGGAGACAGCACCAGGATGCTGAAAATTCAACCCAGAGCAGAGATAAATTTGAAGAGGTCCTCCAAGCCCATGATAACAGAAATGAGCGAGAGAGTTACACCGAGATTGAGAATGTTATCATAGCGTATTCATCACAGGGTGACAACCAAAACAACCTGCCGGATTCCAAGCTTGATGAAGTTTTATTTAATTCTTCCAGTAATGATGCTTCAGAGAGTGCAACAAAACAAGATGAGGCACAAAGTGTCAAGGCCTTAGAAGAGAAAATGCAGCAAAATAACCAGAAAAGGCCAGGACCAAATTACAGTAGAATCAGTGAAGTTGGTAGAAAGTCTCATGACAATCGAGTGGGATCTTTCATGAGAGCGACTTCTCTCCCAGTGGATTCAGGAGATTCTTGTAGGCCACCAAATGATGCCACAACTAAACCTTCAGTCACAAACATTGATGAACTACCAATCCGTGGCTTCAATGCATCATTAGAGGCTGCCATCACTCCAAAGACCAGTAGCCAATCAGACCAAACCCAGTATCCTGATACCAGAAAAGAACAGGAAACACCTAACATGAGACTCCCCAGAAGTAGTGGCAAACCTTTTACATCAACTCCTTGCCAGCAAACAAACAGTGCTGTTACAGAAGGAGACTGTAACAATGAGGGCAAATCCTCCGGAAAACTAACAGCAGAAAAACCTGATACAGACAGCACGAAGAGACACAGTCCATTTCACATTGGAACTCTTGGATCCTCTCCAAGGCTACCGGGAAGGCACCAATCAGCTGCAGTCCATCTGGAGAGTCAGAGGAGAGTTGTGAGTGATCCAGCATGCCAGCACAGCTTGTCGTACGAGTCGCTGCAATCCAACCAATCAGAGGGCTCGGCAGATTGGGGGAGTCCGGTGAGGAATGGAGCCACCCCAAAGAAGCCAGCAACCCCATTGGTGGGTCTCTTTCTCCATCCATTGGTATTTGCCTGCTGTCTGTGTTGTTCTTTTCAAAGCTGACGTATTCTTAGACATAAATTTAACATTTTTGTATTTTAATGTGCGTTATGCATCATTTCCTGTTATTATGTACCGTTAGCAACACCACAAACTAATTCATACTTTGTTGTTTCGTACACTTCACGAAAACTGTGAAGTAACCAAAAGAGGCATCATGCGCACGCAGTTTTCATGAAATCACACATGAGCATGTTGTGCATATACATTTCAGAGAAACCTACTTAAGAATGTTTCACACAAATTATCCATTCTTTACTTGTGAAATATAGAAGCATTTAACCAGAAATAATTCATTTGTAGGAAATTAATAAAGATTTTATTTCCTGAAAACAAAAATGTTCTGACACTTATATTTATTGGTTTTTGAAAAGGAATATTATGGCAGCTGTAAATCCTACGTGCAAGACGCGCACACAAACTTGTGTCACAGATCATGAAATAAGAATTATGGCAACAGTAAATTCTCTGCCCAAGCCGTTCAAGGTTCACCTTTGCGTTAGTTTGTGGTGACAGTGACGATATATCATAAGAACAAAAAACATTCTCAGTTTTGCACTTATCATTTTTTTTTTAAACTTGTTAGTCAGCAAAAACTAGTCTGCGGTACATATTTATGTTGGTTGTCCCTATCACATTTTGTCCTACAATGGTTTATCATGGAATTGATTTGTATTTGCTAACCATCCCGTGTAAAAATGAAAGTAATGCCTTTCAGAATCCTACTGTTTTTCTCAACTGATCTGAGTGGAAGGGTTGGGATTGTGGAGTAAATTGCAAAATCCTGTAACTTCTGTCAGTACTGATCACCTCTTGTTTTGTGGATCTGTAGAGTGAGATTCTGTGGAGTGGTTCAGACAGTGATGACGAGGAGGAAAATGTTAACTTTGTGGAGATGTGGAAGGCACGCAACTCTTCCCCAATGAAACTACCAGACTGGAACCCAAGGAAGAGTGTTGAAGACTACAAGAAGAAGGTTAGAGCCAATTCCTTGTTAGACCCTTTAGTTTTGGCTTGAGTGTCTTTCATCTTAATCCCATTTTTTTCGTAGTAATTACATGGACATTGAAAGGATCTTTGTTCCTTCTCATATCTGTGAACCAAGTCAATAGGGCAGGGTTACATACAAGAGTACGGATGATGGTCACTATTGCCTACTCTCGTCCTCATTTTGCAGATGCAGGAGTCTCTGTCAAGTAACTCAGAGAGGCCAGACAGCGTGACTTCCTCCACGTCCAGTGAGCAGTGGCTTCTCAACTATCCTCTTGACAAGATCTCACCACCGACGAGTCTGACCAGACCCTCCAAAACCAACGGCAGAAAGGAGCCAGTCAGAAGCAGCTCCGTGAAGAACTCAGAGTCCAAGACTCAGGAAGGCAAAGCCTCCCTGAGCAGCTCCAAGTCAGCACCTGCCACTAAAACCAATGGCTCTTTGAAGAGAAATGCGGGTGTGGGCAAGAAAACCAGCGGAGGTGATCGAATCAAGTCTTCCGGCAGTGATAATAGTAGCCTGGGAGAGAACTCAATGATGGCAGACTTTGTGTCCAGTATCATGACAGAGATCTCTGCTGGAGAGTTCGGCAAGAGCTGTATCAGTCTGGACTCGGGTCTTAAGGACAAGAAGAAAGCTCCAAAAATGGGCATATCAGAACAACGAATCAATTCCAATACGAGGGCCAAGTGTAATTCACTGCCCTCTAACCATTCACAGTTCCTCTCGCTGTCCATCCAGAGCAGCCCCAAAAGTCCTCAAGCACCCACTAAACCAGTCACTAAAACTCTGTCAGCATCATCAGGATCAAAACAAATCAAGTCCAAATTCAAAGAAACAAGACGCAAGAGTTCATTGTCAGGAATCCCCAAAGCTGTTACAGAGAAGAATTTCAAATTGTACAAAGGACAATCCTCGAGGAAGTCAGATCAGCAGGTGAAACAACAAGCAGAGGCCACTACCAAGGAAGATCCCAACGACTATAATCAAGTCAAGAAAAGAGAGCCCAAAGGAAGAAGCCGTATCCCCAAACTCATCAGGAATAGCTTCCGGAGTCAAAAGTCAGAGAACCCTGGCAAGAAGAAGACTCCAAAGGGCAGTAAGAAGGCATCCCTTGATGATCATAAAATCCAGATGACATGCAATGTGCCTGGTGAACAGAGCAGCAACACTGAACAGGGAGGTGCCCAGTCACAGGCCTGGATGCGACGCGATGTCCGTAGAGGGAGGTCTCCTCTCGAACCCAGAGGGAGCAAAGATGCCAAGAAATCTGTAGAATCCAGACTTGTCAGTGCAGAAATGCCTTACATTGATGACACGGGCGCGAGTCCAGTCAAGCCATTGGGTTGTGAAAAATGCAACTTGTGTTCCAACGGAGAACAGATCAGCAGTGATTGCTCTCACGCTCATCAGGCGCGAAAGAACACAGGCACAGGCGAGGCTACCCATTCTGATGATCATGTCAATCTCTCAGTCAACAATGTCTGGAAAAAGAACAATCAATCAAATACCGACTGGAATTCCCCAAAGTCCTCACTTGATGCTGCCAACCAGAAACTAATACATGACATTGAGCAGGGTCATCTCTGCAGTGACTCTGAATGCCAACTCACATCAAGGACCTGGGCACCGCAACTCAACAGTAACAACAAGGGCAGTTACGAGAGAAGTCTACAGACAAGAGAACCAATGGAAGGAGGGAAGGAGGAAATGAGAACATCAGGGAAACAGTACAAAGTGCCACTGGTTAATGAAGACATGATGGAGGACTTTGATGTGGAAGAGCTGTGTGATGAAGAATCAGAAGATGCAAGGGAGAACTCAGCTCAGCTTAGTGAGAAGGTAAGATTCATCAAACATGTAGATCTTGTTAGCTTAAGGAGGAATATGGACATGATGATCACTTCCTGTACATTATGTACATTGTGACTAATTGACTTTACAGTTACCATTACACTACTAAATGTGCTTATAGGGAGACACTTTGTTGTAAAAACAAACAAAAAACAAAACTCAGGGAGACATTCAGCATTAAGGAAACATGTTGAAGTGTCCCCACTGTTATTAGTGCCAGGAGACCAAATATTTTTTTCTTGTTGGACAGTTTTAATAAATCAGATTCGTACAAAAACATTTGCAAGGTTGGTTGGGTTAGGTTTTGTCATTTTATAGTTCACGGATGTAGTTAATACAGTTTTCACTATCATCATCACAATTGTTAACTGTGGTCTGTAACATCTCCTACGTTGTGCTTTCCTTGACAGGAAAGAGCCAATCTCCTGGACTCGTTGTTTGAGAGTGAAACAGATGAGGAGGAGGAAGAAGGAAGGGAGAGCCTTGATACATCCTCAGACAGCCATCCAGATGAGAAACAGTTCCTTAAACTCTTAGGAGGAGACAGAGGTAAAGAAGCTGATAAAGAGGGCATTCAGTGATGGCATGTATTATCAAGATAGATAGTGTGCTCATCAACTATTTCTGCATATCACTCATTGGAACCTAGTTGTGCATTGCAGTACACATGGAAAAAGGAGAATAAACAAGATTTTTTTTTGCGTTGGGGAGATGTTAATTAATGTAACATTGCTTATTAACCCTCCTATGCTGAAGTCCCTCTTTGGGTCACTTGGTAAACACCTCAATGAAGCACAGCTGTGCCGTGTTGTGCACTGCACCAACATGTTAGAGAGTGACCTTGGGCACTTGTGCATATTTGTGCTGTAAAACCAAAGAAGGGTTAATATACCTTGGGTAAGGGCAAAAACCTGTTGTATAAAGAGAATAAACAAGTGAAAAGAAAAACACAAGGAGGAAATGGGATAGAAATTGCCTGCTTGTTTGAAAATATCTTGGAATCGACATCCTCCTACTGCAAGTAGTTCAACAGTTTGCTGCTGATGAGTGCTTCCCCCCCCCACCCCCGAAGAAAAACCAGCCTGGGAAAAATCATGGAGATTTTAGGTTTCTTGATTAGACCTCATCAAGCACAGGAGCTCCATTTGGCATTTGAGCCTCCACACATGATGCCTAATGGTGTCCAGTTCTTGTTCTGAATGCACTATTCAGTCAGTATA